TACTTTCTTTTTTTAGAAATAAGATTTGGAATTTCCACAGCTTGTTTTTTGCCAGCAACAAGAGACTAAGATAAAAACTAGGGACTTTTTTCCCTAGTGGCTTCTATTTATTTTTTAGATAAGCTTCTTGTTCCTTCTGTGAAGTGAAATAGACAATGCCTCTGAATAGAAGAAAATAAGAAATTAGCTATTTTGTAGTCTCTGCAAGTTATCATACTTCTGTATTATTTTATCTGGCATCTTTTGTGGATTCTGGATGCCTTCAGACTAACCAAACAGGAAGTGTCGTGGCTGGGGATCTGGTGCCTGAGAAAGATAATGAAGGAAGTAGATGCATTTATTTTTGTATACAGTATTTCAGAAATTCCAGAAAAGGGAAAGAAGCAGATGATAAAACTTTCTTAAGTTGTTTCTTTTTTCCCTTTTTTCAATAGATGACAAGTTAGATGCGGAGTACAATTGCAAGGTGTGATGTAAGTTACAGGGTAATGCGTTGGTGTTCTTTTTGTAGCTAGGAACAAAGTTACAATTCCTGAAACAAACGCAACCCTTTAAATAGATCTGCATGTAGGTCTCATCCTTCCCATCTGGAGATGAAAATTATAAGGAGTCAGTGATGCTCTCCTCCCCCTCTTGGGGGCTATACAGAAGTTGTATTATTGTCAGGTGGTGAGAAAGAAGGTGGAGGGAGTTAGGGAAAGCAAAGGGTCAGGGAAGCTGTGGGAACCAAAAAGCCAGTAGGCACTGAGGAAGGAAAGACAGTATATAACCCATATGGCAGGCTACTGAGGTTGCTGAGAACTGAAAATTTTGAGGCTGACAGATCATTTTCTGCTGTATAAGCCATATAGTCAGCAGTATTCATACATGTCCTCCAGGTTCATGTTTTTTCAGTTACTTGATCAAGATATGACCATATTAAAGGTGTTACCTTGGATGTGGTGCCTGAAGGGCATTCCTTCTTTGTTGACACAGATGTGTTTTCCCTGCAAGAATAGTTCTCATTTGAGTTACAACACATTCCTCTTGCTTTTATTTTTCGGGCATGATCATACTGTGGAGGTATCCGACACTCTTTGCTTAGGGTGAAAGCTCTTCATCCCAGCTGCCTCCGTAAAGCATCAGAAACTCTGTAAGAGGCTTTCTTATACTCAGACATGCAGTGCGCATCCCAAGGAGATCTTTCATGAGATGGGTGAGGGCTGCAGTTTGAATGGGGGACCCAAGTATGAACTTGCTGTAATACCTCTATGATCTGAGGCTGAAGAATTGCTGAGTCAGACTTAGCTGCATCTTCTCTCCTGAATGCCATGCCTTCCACAGAAGGATTCTGCCCTCTCAAGCTGATGGGACATAAAGATGCTTAGTAATAAACATGTTGCGTATGTTTCTGTGTTGGGGCCCTGTATAGAAGTTATTACTCCAGCACTAGGTATTTTAGCAGAAATCCCAAATGGTGGCTCTAGATGCAGATATTGGGGTGAAGTGCCATGAAGCATTTTATTGCTGATACAGGAAACAGAATGTCAAATTAGATGAGTTTCCTTCTACCTTTTTTTATAAATCTCCTCTACCAAAAGAGAAGGATTAGCCCTCTTCTCCTTAGGACCTTGGCCATAAATCACAAAAACAGTGGTGAAGGTTTTAAGGGACAAAATTCTGCATGAGGTAAAAAAAAATTAGCCTTTCAGCTTTCCTCTAATAGCCTCCATGAGACAATGCAGTACAGTAAAAATGCAGGAAGTGGATTAGAAATGTTGGATAACTAACATGTTAGATAACTGACATGTTGCATAATGTGCATTTTGTTCAAATAATTCATTAAGATATCAAGAACTTGTTATCTCTTTTGTCTAGAGGAAATTAACTGAAGTTCATCATATAGGTATTTAACAGGGTGGTAGACGTATGAGTTAAAGCAAATGCTTAGCACAGTTCTGAAATGCTATTCTTTTCTTACTTTCCAGAAAAGTCTGAAGTAAGTTTCAGTTTCCTGAAGGACATTTGTATTTTCTGATGCCAGGCCAAAAATGATGTGTTCAGTATTTCCAAACTCCCTTCTGAGACACACAATTGTTTTATCTTTGTTTGTCCATCAAAGCCTGGGAAAGTCTCTTTTGATTACTAGATGTATTGGAAAATATATATTTACATCCCAGTGCTTAATTCTTTTAATCTCTTTTGCCTTTAGTAATATTTTTGTAATACTGGTTACATTCCAGTCTTCATTATGCTCTGCATGTGTCAGAATTTCTTCCAGTTGATCCTATAACACTTGATCTCACTGCGAATCTAGATGCATCCTCTATTTTTATCCCCAGCATCCTCCTCTGTGCCATTTGAACAAAAAGATAGATTATCTGAACTCTTGAGGTCAACTGCTAAAACTTGTCAGCTGATCTCTATTTGTTTTCGGACAGAACAGCCAGTTCTGAAAATAAGCAAACTTGATACTCATTGTCCTATTTGCAGGTTGATGCTGAGGATAGTAGGAGCAACAGTAAAGTACATGTTCTTTTTAAAATACACAGAAGGCTCACATTTTAAGTTGGGTAAAGAGCAAGTTTTAAGAAATTTTTTAATTTCTTGGCAGATCTGGACTTCCTTTAATAATATTTGTTGGCTAACCCTGCTCTTACCTATACTGTCTGAATTAAATTTGCCTGATCGCTCAGTATAGTAGTCCCTCTGGTAAGGATCCAACTCCAGTAAAGTTAATGGCAGCTGTCCAGTTTAATTTACTGAGAGCTGGATCAGAGTAATTTCCTATTTCATGTTATCTGATGAAGGACTTGATTACAATTTTTCCAGCATGCGGATATGGCCTCCTATGTTTATATCTTTCTGTGTCTAGAAACAGATTTCCCAGAAACAGGGAAATTTTGCCTTTTCTCCTTCAGCTTAGCCTATGATTATTTAAGCAGTCAAAGCAGAAGAGTTTAATTTCTTGCTTCTTTCTGCCTGTGATTAAAAAGTATTTGCAACTTAACTAAGAGAGTACACTTTTCTTCAACAAAACCCTTTTCTGTGAAGTAAAATCACATTCTGTAGTTGTTGTTACCTACTCTGGATAGACTTTGGGTTTCTGGATTTGATAACAGTACTTCCAGAACAGTAATCTGCTTGCATTTCCTGAGACTTACGAGATTTTTTTTTTTCTTACTCCTCTAATAAAAACAATGATGATGATAATAAAAATAATGTATTATGAGAGAATCCACTGTGGCAGTTTCAGTGAATTTCAGCTTTAGTGACTTTTGGTTAGGCATTGCTAGGTGCTTCAGATTTCCCTGTTTTATTGTATTCTGGGTAATCCTTTGGTTGTCTTGTTTAGTTTTTCCATATTTCTGAATATTGTTGTTATTATTAATTACTATTATTTTGAAGGCATACTTTCTGCCTGAGATCACAATTTTATCTTCCCATAATCATTACATCCCTTTTATAATTATGAGTTTATGATAAGTGTATGAAAAAAGTGGTTGATGCTTCTCATTTTACCTAATGTAAGGTCTTTGACAGAATCATAAATGTATTTATTACAGTGTGCTTTGGTATTTCTGTAGCAGCTTGTACTGTCCAGCTATCCTTTGATGAGAATGCAAATGTAGGGGCAGCTGCAGTCAGTGAAAAAGCAGAAAAAAATAGTTCCTGAAGAAGACATGCTGCCTGTGGGCCAGTGGAAGCCATATATCCTCTGGTACTACTCCCACCTGAACATGGTATTTTGAGCTAGCATGAGGTTATTAACCGTAAAATCTGCTTGACTCAAAAAAGTATTAGGTTAATGTAGTGCCAGCTTTTCAGCAATTATATTTCTTCAGCATTTACAGCATTGTTGGTTCAGCCTTTATTTTTCCAAGTTATTATTCATTTACTAGATATTTCAATCTGTGCTGTTTATAAAATATACTATATGATGATAATATTTCATAGACATCAAATGACCAAACTATTACATACCAAACGATCTGCCAGAGACATTTTAAAAACATATATGTTTTGTTTTGAATTTCTTGCTGCTTTTATTTAGTGATTCATAATTGACCAATATAAACTACTCAATTAGTTGAATAAATAAACAATTGAGATTTGGAAACCTTTAGCCATTCTTTGCATTCATAGCATTTCCCAACTGAAAATTAAACACTGAAGTGTTATTTTATTTTTTTCATAACATTGTCGCTATATTAACCAGTAATAGTTGTCCTCAGAAATATTCCAAACTAGATTTGTATACCCACTGGAAACCAAACACTGAAAGTAATCCCAGAGTTGTATTATCAACTGCTATACTTCAGTTATACATAAACAGGACATGAGAGATCTGAGAATCATATCAGGTGATGTAATGCGTACCAGTAACATCTTGAAAGAGGGACATTTTGTGGCCATTTTTAAAGAGGAATTAGGAAAATTGGTTCATTCAATTCATCCGAACAGGGTGAGCCTGGTTCAAGGTGATCAAGTCAGATCTCCAGACTTCTGTTATCTGACTTATTTCTTCATTTTTAGGGATCAAAAATACTTAGCAACATGAGTAACATCATCTCTTAAACTGGTAGCACAGTTTTCAAAGGGAATATTGAGTTAGATGAAGTTATTTACAGAATTGAGTATTGTTAGAAGTATTCTCAAGACACAGCCCTACAAAAATATTTGTGCTGAAAGCAAACTTGAATAACTTTTCCATCTGAGGTATAGTGCCATTCAATTACTTGGAATTACCCACATTCTTTCATTTTATCAGTTATTTGCAGGATCAGATCTTGACTTGGTCTTTTTAAGTCTAGTAGGCACTGTATTACAAGTGTTAATATTTATTGTTTTCCTGGGCTTTCAATTCTGTATTTAAAAAAGCAGCAGAGGGCGCTGAGCCCACCGGCACAGCCCGGTATGGATCTCTTCCTCCCTGCTCTGGATTTCCCCGTCCAGGGATTTCCCACTCCACCTCGAGGAGAGCCTTTATAAAGAGCGCGCTGGCTCTGTTCTAATAAACTGTTGTAGAGCAGTAGGATCTCACTGCGCTTCTTCACAGAAAATAGAAAGCAAGGCTTTTGAATTTACTTTTTTTACCTAGTAACAGCAATTACAAAAATGTTAAAACAGATGGGAAGAACAAGCCAAGCTGTGCTATTAATTTTGTGTGTGTTAATGACTGGTAAGTTGGGGGGGGTTGTTTTCTTTATTTGTTTTTAATTTTGTTAAGTGTAAACTGACCTACAATTTACTATTTGATCTTTATTTCTCTTTGTTCCAGTTGCTTTTACATTTCAGTGAATACAACTGTCAATTAAGTAGTTCTGTTAAAATGTCAGGAAGCTTTCTTTGACGTTTACTTTGAGCTTTTCTGTACTCTGCAATGACACAGTCATTTTCTTATGGAGTTTGCTAAAAGACAGTCTAGGAGACAACTGCAATATATCACTGCATGTTTGATTTTTACTGTCATCCCTGACAGTATCAGTCAAGCTTGGTACTAAATATCCAGTTGAAAGCGATTCTGCAGTTGTCCTTGCTATGTTACTTACCCTCCCTTCCTTCAAATGTTAAAAAGTTTTAGAACCAGATCCACCTGACAAAAAAAGTTGTATTGTGCCAATGTGTTTATTTTCACTGACAGCATTGGGTTTATGCCATTTTATACATGAGAACTGTCTGTTAGAGTCATCTGAGTCTGTGTTATCTTTGACAAAAATAGCAATGTTTATGGGGTATTTTGGAGACGTAAACCACTGTATGAGCTTTATTAGTTTAACCTCCATACAACTGTAAAGTAAACTTGCAAAGTAATGACCTCGTGTCACAGTGCAACCTGAGAAGAAATGGGAAAATAAATGTTGAGAATGCTGCTGAGTTTATGTATGTTCTCCCTATTATAGTTAAAGCTTTTGAAATGGAGATTATACCTGCTAACAGAATTGTTGCACAGATTGGAGAAACACTCATACTCACATGCAATACTACTGGCTGTGCATCACCAAGTTTTTCCTGGAGAACCCAGATGGACAACCCCCTTGGAGGAACAGTGAACAACCATAGGACATACTCTACCTTGACTATGAATCCAGTTAGCATTGTGAATTCTCATGATTATCTGTGTACTGTCTTGTGTGGTGAGAAAGAGAAAAAAGAGAAGAGTATCAAAGTTGAACTTTATTGTAAGTAAAAATGTAAAATTCTCTTTAAGTAGTATACATTTGTAAAAAATCAGTAATTGTTTTTAGATATCATGGTTGGTAGTTAACTGATAATGCTAGGATAATGAGTCTGCTGTAGCTCAACATATATTTCCTTGTTAGATTCCCTTATCTGTCTATTCAGGACTTTTTCTCAGCCTCTTTCTGCTTAGCTTTCTGCACTGAAGGTAGTACCTATTGATCTTATTTATTCTTATTCTTGGTAATACCTGAAAGCCAAAACACAGAGTCCCCAAAACATTCGTAGTGCTGGAAAAAAAAAATAACAACCAATGTGGTTGAGATGGATGTATTTGGGAAACCTGCAAGTGCAGAGCACCTAAATCAAAACCTTTGCAGTTTGAGGGGAATGATTCAGATGTCTAAGCCTACCAGCACAGAAAATAGGATACCACCAATGTATGGATTGCTCTGGATGCTTATACTTAGGCAGCTGTATCACTGGTGCCTTGCTGGATCTTATTAGATCATTTGTGATCATATTTCAACAATTTACAAATATAATTCCTGTTAGTCTATGAACTGCTTATAAAAGACCTGTATGTCTTCATGTCAAGATATGTCTTGTAATAAAGTTGACATAATGTCATGTTCTGAACGCCTCTAAACTCAAGATGTTTGATGTCTGGATCTTGCTCCTGTGTTGACCCCAGAGCTCATCTCTGCTAGACTAAAGAAAAGGATTTTGTTCTTTTAGCTTTCCCCAGTGATCCTATCATTGAGATCAGCCCATCCTTAGTTGCTGGAGAACCAATCACTGTCATCTGTAAAATTCCTGATGTGTATCCTTCTGATCACCTGGAAGTACTCTTAAAGAAAGAAGAACATGTTCTTCATGAGGAGAATTTTTATGAAGATGACAGCACAAATACAGAGACCAAAACTGTGACATATTCATTTAATCCCACGGCTGAAGATATTGGGAAAGAGATTACCTGTGTGGCCAAGTTACCAATTGCTAATATGGACTTTGAACCCAAAGAAAGAGTAACTTCTCAGAAGCTGAATGCAAACTGTAAGTATTTTTATTCTAGGGCTTTCACACCAACTACTCTTTAATGATAAGTTTCATGGAATGGGTTTACAAAGTGTGTGCTATAAATAATTTATAATCTGCACTTCTTATCTATATTATTTTTGGAGATAATCTATTGTATTCAGTTGAATTCTGCTGTATTCAGTAACAGTCATCGAGTCATTAAATACCCACTGTTGTTCATGACAGAATTTAGGCAATGCATTGGTAACTCCTCTCTCACTCTCTTACCTTGAGACTGGTGCTCAGTCAGAAAGTAAAGACCAAAAGAAAAATGGCAGCATGCAGATAAACAATTGTTTTTAAAATTGCCATTGTATGCTTAGCAGTTCCAAGTTTGTACTCCTAAACAATAGGGAGACAAATGTAAGAGTTAAAAAAAAAAAAGATTGTACACATTTTGTCTGGATTAGCTTTCAAAGCTGCAAGCTAAATGTCTTATTAAGTCTGGAAAAATTGTTCCACTGTATTACTGGAATACACATTATTCATTTTCTCTTGGTATTGTGTGAAATGTACTTCTAAAGAAGCTACTGTTAAAGATGTGCATGTCATTCTTCATTAACTTAATGACCTTATCTCTCTTTTGTTCTCTTCCAGTTGGTCCACAAAATACTATCATTACTGCATCTCCAGGCAACTCGCCAATGGAAGGAGACCCTCTAAAACTCACTTGTGTGACTGAGAGTAATCCACCACCACAAATAGTTTGGAGAAAACAACTGGCTGATGAAAGTGTTCAGCATCTGATGGAAAACAATGTCCTTTCTATTCCCTATGCCCGTTTCACTGATTCGGGACTGTACATCTGTGAAGTAATTAATCTGGTAACTAACAAAACAGAGAAAGCAACTATGGACATTGTTATACAAGGTACAAGTCTGCTTGAATTTAACTTGTATCATCCAGCTGCCTATTGGGTTGGAGGATGCTGAAACACTGAAAATTAGGAAATTATGGGGCCTTCTTTGTTATGTACTCAGGATTTAGCTTTCAATTTACTGCTGCTCTTCATGGCTAGTGCTTTTCATTTCTATGCTTTATTTTCAGCTAATTCTCTCTTTACTGCTGTTGTACATGCATACCTCTGTACATTTCCTGCAATGCAACACTCAAAAGTGATAAAAGAATCTGAGAAAGTGGCGGTGTAGGGGACACTGTTATTTCCTTGAAATGCTATTGTACATAGCAATTTCACAGGGACATCACAGTCTCCTTCTTTGAACTAGTAGTTTTAGTCATTAGTAGTAAATATTGTAGTCATTTAATAGTAAAACTATTTTGGACATTATTGTTATTATTATTACTATTACTGCTACTGTTTCAATAGAGCCAAAAGTCTCAGATGGAGCCTGGGACCAAAACCAAAATGAACAGATCCTTGGGCGAGCAATTTCTGCTTTCTTAAAACCCTCTCTGTCCTTAGTACTTTTCCATTAGTATAACAGCCTTTTCTTTTGTCATGCAGGTGCTCCAAACATTGCGGAACTCTCCATTAAGCCTTCTACAACAGTTCAAGAAGGAGAAAATGTTTCCATACAATGTTCTGCTGAGAGTAACCCTCCTCCTAAGATTATTTTAAGGAGAAAATCTGACAGTGCAGACATGGGGCCTTACAGCGAGGGGAGAATTCTCCTTCTTCCATCTGTGACATTCCTAAATGGAGGAGACTATGAATGTGTAGCAGAAAATAAATTTGGGAAAAGTAAAAGTGAAATAACACTTAATGTGGAATGTAAGTATGTATAATGTTTTCCCAATCATTTAAAAAGAATTAGTTAATTCTCCACTTACTTCAGTGATAAATGTAAACATCAAACTAAACAAAACCCTGTGAGTACAAAAAAATCAGCATAGTCCTCTGCTCTTCCCCAAAGAAAGGAGCAGTGCTGATGAGCAAAACAAAGACACGAAATTTTTAATGTAATGACAGTCTTAAGTCAGGATCTGAATGAGCGAGAAACTGATCTACCTTCTGAACATCCTTGGTTAGAAGTACTTGGTTAGTACCTTTAGGCTATGGCGGGTTTATATGGAAGCTCTGATACTGTGCTTTACTTATTCTGAGAATGAAAAAGAAATTACCTTTGGGAGGTTGACAACCTGCCATCTAGTAGGACATGTTGGATCCATCTCTAAAAAATCCAGTGGTGATTAACTACAGGATTCTTCCTTTCAGATGGACCAAAAAGTACAATGATCTCTGTTATCCCTGCTGCTGCTGTTAAAGAAGGAGAAACTGTGACAATGAAATGTACTAGTTCTGGTAATCCAGCTCCAGTGATCTCTTGGAAGAAAAAGAAGGCCACTGGGGAGTGTGAGAAAATTTTTAAAGATGCGACTTTAACTATACAGAACATAAAAAGTCAAGATGTGGGGCTTTATGAATGTGAAGCTTATAACCAATTTGGCAAAGAAGAAAAAGGTGTGAAATTACTTGTTCAAGGTTAGTAGAACAAGACTGAACACAAGTTTTTTGGTTTATGTATTTTAGATCCAGATCTTATTCTGTGAAGGGCCGGGGAATTCATTCTTTGATGTCAATGGAGTTGAAAGGTAGCCCTAATGTCATTAAGTCATTTAGGAAGCTTTAAACAATGAAGGGTGAAATCTGCCTTAGCACAGATAGCTTATGCAAAGTTCTCATGTCAGCTGACCTTCCGTCACTCCTTCCAATTGAAAAATCTATGCATGAGGCAAAGAAGCTATGTACTGCCTATATTTTCCTCCAAACAGGTCTCAGTGGAGGATTCAGATACTCGCATACAAAAGATTCAAAGATATGCTGAAACTTCTCTGTGGAGGGACTGTATTACAGCCCCTTGGCTCTCCTTTAAGTTACGACTCTGTATCCTGTTCTCGCAAGCTGCATTTAAGCTATACCAAATGCTGATTCCTCAACCTACATGCAGTGATAGCAAAGTTCTATTTTCAGTAGTAAGCAGGCTTCTCTGCTTTAGCCCTGCTGCTTCTGTTTATTGCATGGCAACAGTGTATTGCTTAGGGATCACTTCTGCCACTAATCCATCTCTCTTCCTTATTCTTTACTATTTTTGTAGTTGCACCAAAAAATACACTTTCAGTTTTTCCTTCAAGTGCAGTGATACAAGGAGAAAGCGTTACCATCTCTTGCACATCTGCGGATGTTACATCTGTTCAGAGTACTCTGTGAAAGAAAATAGGTGATGGGATCACAACCCTTGAAACAGTAGATGGCAAATATACCATAGACAGGGCTCAGCTAAAGGATGCAGGAACATATGAATGCATATCATTAATGAACTGGGAGAGCAGTCTCAGCACGTAGTACTTCATGTCAAAGGTTAGTTAAAATAACTACCATACAGAGTTAATATTCAGATTTGTTTTAGACAGAATGACATCTTCACTTCAATTCCGTTAAGAATGAATTGTCTTTAAAAAAACTGAGATGAACTGCACAGGTTCTTGTCCTAAGTGGCAGGATCTTAGTGCTAATGAAAACTGTCCAAAACGGCAGATGCACAAAATAATTGCTGCTTCAAAATTTTTCATAGTTCCACTTCCACCTTTGACAACAGGATGTAAAATTGTGGAACCTAGTGAAAAAAGTATTGTTCTAGGACTCCTTCCGTTGCCTTTTCTATTTCTCTTCTGTTGAAAGAGGACATCAACCTCTGGGTCTATTGGTCTGTGTCCTTTCATGAACTCGAATAAATAGTGAATTTAAAATAAGAAAAGAAGAGAAGGCTCCATATAATGTAAAAGGTATGCAACATACTCCATCAGCTGATAAAATGTTCCTTCTGTCAGCTGCTGTTGACTGCAGTGTGTGAAGGATAGCTAGTGACAGAGTAGTGTCTAAAGCTATGTGCTTGAATATTATAGTGAATCCATTAACTGGATTAGTACTTTGTGTGTACAAGCTGCTGATACCTCATGAGTTTTTTGCTTCTGTTTGTTGCTAAATCCTACCTTGCATTTCTTTTCTTTTCAGTTCCTCCCCAAAATATTACTGTTTTAGTATATCCATCAGAAAATGTTAAAGAAGGAGAAAATGTCACTATTACATGTAGCACATACAGTAACCCACCATCACAGATGGTCCTGAAAAAAGTCCATCAGGAGAAAGAAATTATTCTGCCATCAGTGAATGGAACCTTTATACTCTACAATGTCACCAAAAATGATACAGGCAGATATTTGCTTGATGTTTTCAATGAGGTTGGAAACAACATCAAAGTGATTGAGATAGCTGTTGTAGGTAGGTAGATCTATTGCCTTAAACTTATTTTGTTCGTACTTTCTAATGAATTTTGTGTCAAGGTGAGAACAACTAGTTCATGGCTGATACTTGTGCAACAGTACTGCAGTTAAATTAAAAAAAAAAAAAAAATCAAACCAAATAATAGAACAGCTGTTGAGAATAAGCTGGTTTTAACCTCCTTTCAGTGTGGATGTTATTGTCTCTCTTGGGTTGGTGCAGTAGCTTTAAGGATAGGGCCAGAAAAGGTGGATCCTGGCCACATTTCTGTCCACATGCGTGAACAGTGAGACTAATCCAGAGAAAGTTCTGCTTCACAAAAAGATCTAAAGATTGGGCTTTTTAAACATGGTCTTCTCCTGAAGCATTTTTTTCCAGGAGGTAGAAATATCCCCAAATGTTTCCTGGGTAAAATACGTGATATTCTTCTTGTATTCTTCATGAACTCCATGGTATTCTTCATTGTAGATTATATCAAATGGGTTTGAATTTGCACAGCAAATTCAAAACCAAGATAGTGGTTAGGAATTAAAGTGTGTAATATGGAGTTACTAAAGAAAAAAGCATAAGGAAAACGTTTTGAAGTGTGCTTGTGCATGAAAACAGAAATAGTGTTCCAAATGAAGGTCATTAATAATACTGCTTTTGCAGAAATATATATGTATCTGTTTCAATCAGTTTTTACACCACTTTTTTCTCCTTTTGTCTCCATCTTCAGGAAGATTGGAAAAACCAGATCAAATGATACCATTGATTATTGCATTCTCCTGTGTAACAGCAATAGTAGTACCTGTAGTTGCAATTTTGATCTACGTGTCAAGAAAAGCAAAGATAAATGGATCCTACAGTCTTGTAAAAGCACTCAGGCTGAAAGTGTGATCGCATGAATATAAGTCTAAGTTCATAATAAGCAATGTTATTTATTGTTGTGACTGGTTCTACTCTTCTATAGCATATGGTAACAAACAAGTGACTTAAGAACACTGCCATGTGATAGCAAATGGATTTTTTTTCATGTTTTAAGTTTAAATTAAAAGGAAAGCTAGCATCCTGTCCTAGAAATTGGTAAATCACTTCTGTGTTGAAGCATGCTGAACAAAGAGTTCCTTGGAGAACTAGGTTTGTACATAGTGTATAATTTGTGTTATAAATATGTTCAACTGAGTATCAGTTTGTAAAATTGCAGTCTTACTGCAACTGTACAGAGAAATGTTGTTAATTCAAAGATATAAATCAGCATTACTTGAGCTGATCAGATGATAATATTTTATTTTGTATTACTTCACAGAGTGAATGTTTTAATATAATTTGTCTGCTTGTGGTAATGTTTGGAAAATGTTGTCTTTTCACTCATATTGCCATAAACTCTGTACCTTCAATGAAGTTACACCATCACTGGGCTATGCATTTCTAATTAATTTGAATTAATTTAAGATCTCAGGGCTCATTTGTGAAACATTTTATTTTAAATATTATTCAGAAAGCGTCTGGGTTTATAGTCTAGTTAGTTTTAGGACAGCTGAGGTATTTTTGTAGGATTTAGTCATTCTCAAATCAACGTCAGAATTCTGTTATTTTGTGATGAGCCAAATCAGACCCTTCATTTAGAATATAAGCTGCCAATAAATATGCTTTATAGATTTCCACTGCAAAATAAAACTACTAGTAGGTTTCTTTGACTAGATCCCCCTAGTGATATCTTGCTTAAGATTATGTCAGAATAGACATTCCTGTGGAAGGAACCAGTGAAAACTATCATCCTTAGCAACAGCAGATGCGAGTGTCATGGGAAGCCCTAACTGTAAAAGCACAAGCAAGGCAGGCAGCAACATAAAGGCATAGGCAAGGGGGAGAGGCAAAATCTGTGCAGCCTCAGCAATGGTGGTTGAGTTATTTCCTGAAGAAATGCCCTTCCCAAGCTGCTCACTGTAGAAAACTAAACCACTTGCCTGACAACTTTCCTTTTAATAGGCAACCAGTGCCTGCATGCTTCGCCCTGGTTAGCACCTTTTTTCACCGCACGCTCTTTCCAGTGTTGGCAAAATGGCTGTGAAAATAGTGGGCTTTCTGTGCAGAGGCAAAGTTGAGGGGGAAGGAGAGGTGGAGTTTGATGGTATTCTCTCTTACATCCCTTCCCCTGGCTAGCAGTGCTGCTTTGGCTCATCTGGTTGGTGATGTTCAGCACCGAAGGCAAGGTTGTGGGAGGTGCAGGCACTGTGGCTGAGATATTGAAGTGCATCTAGTCTCAGCAGCCCTGAGCTACTGTGTTAGGCACAGGAAGGTGGGCTTGGCTCCTCCAAACTTGCACGCACGAGGTCAAGCACAGGGTCAAACAGATATATGTGAAAAGAGTTTCTTTACATTATACAAAAGGTAACAACTGCCCCAACAGCAATACAAACGCAGATGTCTCTTGGTAGCTAGCTGTGGGATGAGGCAGTGGTGCAGATCTCACATATATTTTTCATAGCATGTTCAGCAGTGTTTTGTGCACAGTAAACCAGTGCATGCAGGGTCCTGTGCTTATCCACAGTTGGAAAGTGAGGCTTGGAAAGTGGGGGTGTAACAGAAAAATGGGAAAGCAGTGTGGACTTGGCTTGGAGGAATGTGAGCATGTAGTAGGAGGGTGAAGAAAAGATTGAAGACAGAGGAGGAGGAGAGCTTTGACAGGCCCATAACATAAATTCCTTGGAGGTGGTGCCAGGCAGATTTATTCCGAATAATGTCAGGCGTGTCTCAGTGCTGTCTTGTGAACAAACCAGAAAGCATGATTTTTCCACTGTGCAAAACCTTGGTGCACACACATTTTGCCTACTGGGTATAGTTCTGGTATCTGAATTGCAAGAAGGATAGTTAGAAAAGATACAGAGAAGGAGGACTGGAAAACAGGAAAAATGAAAATGCCTAGGACTTTCCAATTTGGAGAGAGAATTCTGAAAGAGGAGGGGATGTTACTGATGTTTTCCAAGTTGTGAAGGGGGTTGATAACAAACAACAGATGCCGAACTGCTGTTTGCTAAATCATGCAATGCCAGAACTGCAGGGCACGCAAACTAAGGAGAGAGCGGTTTAACAAAAATAATAGAAAGTACTTCTTTATACAGTGAATGGTGAACCAGTGGAAGGTGCTGCAGAAGGTTGTGGAGGACAACAGTATCAATTGGCTCAAAAGAGGAATGGAAAAAATAATGGACTAAAGATCCATAAACAAATACTAAAGGGAATAGGCAGAAATGTACTGTATAACATCCCTAATCCAATGGCCACTGATGCTGAGCAGTCCTCAAGGAATATACTGCAGAAAGTGGCCAGGTTTGCATGCGCTTCTGAAATAGCGTCTCCCACTGTTGGAGACATACTGGGGTAGCTGGATCACTGATGAGACCCAGTAGGTATGTCTTGCCTTCTTATGCCTTCTCTGAGAGTTTTGGGCCAGGCCTACTTGGAGAAGGGGCTTAGCAGTTCCTGTGCTGTTTTTTCCTCTTCCATAGCCCCTTAGAAGGAATAAAAAGAGGAAAGATGAGTGGGAGAGAAATGAGTCATCTTGCAACAGCGCTTTGGTGCTTGTGTAGTCTTTCCTGGAAATTCCTCCACAGGTTCCCGGTATCCTCTCTGCTGTTGGTTTCACCAGTATTTGTGATACAGATACAGACCTTAATATCTACATGGCTTGTCTGCCCTCTCAGGATCTCCATTAAGTCATTTAAGTCAATATGTGATTTCAGCAGGGCCAGTTTTTCATCCAGAAACACTAAGTGAATAGATAGAGCTCATAGTGCTTATTTTAGGAAAGGCTGCTCTTGTGTGGGCAGCAAGCTTCCCCTCAGTGAAATCATAAAGAAGGACCTTGCCAGGGGATCTCCTCCCCTACTGCCTGATCCTTGGTATTTTCCGGGACGCCTAATGATTTGAGCAGAAGCTTGTCTTATGGAGGTTAATAGTCCACAGTCAAATAACTGCTCTTTTTGTTGAAAATTTCAGAAGGAATATTGTTTTTCCTTGCACTATTTCTCATCAAGTAAAATGTAGAGCCTCCGCCCTGGCAAAAAGACATGAACAGCAGCTCCAGCCCAGCAAGCGCTTTCAGAAGGGGTCAGAGCCGCCTGGAGGTCTAGGTAAGAGTCCCTGCCCTGCCCAGACTAAGAAGGTGGTCTGTAGAGCAAAGGGCTGCTCAGGTTTTCTCTACAAAGTCACCTCACAGGTTTTAGAGTTGGTTTTTCCCCTGCCTGGGCTTGTGCTCAAGTACACCTGTTGCCCTTGTGTCCTCGGAGCAGTGGTTTATCCCAGCAATACCATGGGGCAATGCTAAATACTAATGCTAAAATGAGCCTGGATTTTAAAGGGTGACTGCCAAATTTCACTCCCCACAGCTAGTTCAGGATGTGCTCTTCCTTAAAATGTAAAGCTCAAACAGGAGAAGATACGTTTTTTAAACTTCCCCTAGAATGCTTTCAAATTATTTTGTAGGTATACTGAAGGGAACAGTTAACATATCCTGTGACAGAGGTGCTGTTATCTGTTGGAGATAACGACTGGAGGCCCTGTGTTTGCAGGGACAGTCCCCCCGGTTTCAGGGAGGGCCTGACCATGATGTTCAAGGCCAAATGATGATATGGTATCTCTGGCTGTGGCAGGCCATTCAGCTTCGTCGATTTGCTGTTGTGCTGGACCAGGTAACTTCTCTAAGCAGAGCATGTCCCCCTGTAAGGAATCTGATTTTAACTGGAAATTCCTCACAAATAGAGGAATTACCTTTGTCCTTGGTAATTAGCTGTGCCCTTTCTGTTTTATGTGCATGGCCTACTTCCTAGTCCAATTTGTCTGACCTTTTACGCCTTTCTCCCCACAAGGTAATTGCATACTGTAATCAAGCCGTCTCTTATTTCTTTGATAAACTAAACAGATTGAGCTGTTGTAAGCTTACCTTTCTCTATAAGGTGTTTTCTACAGTGGTAAATAATCCTTGTGGTCTTTTCTAAATCCCCTGCAGCACTTCAACATTACCTTTAACATGTGGCAAAAGATCTGTATATGGTCCTTCAGTGCTATTTCTGCCCTTGCCAGAGGTGATTTTGCTTCTTTACTCCTCCTCTGTGCAGCTCTGCTTCCATAAACAGCCTTTTTTACATTTGCCATTTTTTTGTCAGAGAATCACTGCAGGGAATAAAGAATAAGTCAATTCCTTATTCCCATTACAGTTTCTCCATCCTTTGTAGGATACAGCCCCTCAGAGCTGTTCTTTGTACATTTTTTTGAAACAGAAAGCTATGTGATACAAAGTCAAATGCCTCATGAGTCCAAATACCTTAAATCTAATTTGTCTGATAATGCTTACATTCCATAAAACCATGCTGACTGGCACTAATTATGTTTTCTATCCTTTAATCCCTGTATCAGCTTTTCCCATTATTTATAACTTTGTTGTACAAACCAGTCTGAATTTTACCCAGACCATTCAGCTCACCAGTTAAAAACTGACGGAGATTTTGACACTACTTTATACTTAGTTTGAAGGCCACTTCACATCTAAAAAAGAAATGAGAGAAGCTGTTATATCAGGGAAATTACGTCTCTGGTTCTGTTGTCTGTTGTGCAGCTCAACAGCCTTTAAACTTCACAATCTTTTGGGGTCCACATGCTATATATCCTGCCTGTGTTAACTGAACCAGAAAGGAGCATATGAGGAAACCAGAATGATTTTACTGCTCTTTGCTGTGCTTAATTGTAAAAACCAGAATGTTGTGACCTAATGCTGTTGATTTCTTCTCTTAAATATTTTACCTTTCATATGAATGAGAGGCAGATATGGGACATCTGCTCTCAGCAGTTGAAAGAAATGGTGCCATAGCTGTTGAATGAATTCATGTTCCCAACACAGATGTCATGTCTTGAACACTCCCACCTATTTCAGACTGTTCTATTTTATGTTGTTCTTTCATATTTATTAAGGGCTCAGAGACTTACAGTGATGGAGACTATAAG